CCATAGAGAATGGGCTCCAAAAAAGCCAGTTCATGCACTAGGGATAATTCCAGGCTCCACTGCCAGGAGCCCCATAAATTGCCCAAGTCCCCCAACTGCCACCCACATTCACGGGGCCCAGTTCATTTCATGCAGGTTCCCCAGCTGTCAGTCTGGAGTCTGGAGTTCCCACTTGCTGTTTCTGTAGTTTCCCTTTGACCCCTTTGATAATATTATTGCTCCTCCCTCTTTACAATTGGACTTCAGGAGTTCTGTCCAGTGCTTGTCTGTAGATCTCTGCATCTGCTTTCATCAGTTACTGGATGAAGGCTCATAGTTGTCTTTCTGTGTCTGGGTTACCTCACTCAGGATGGTTTCTTCTAGTTCTACCTGTTTGCCTACGAATTTCAAACTGTCACTTTTTTTTTTTAATCACTTTTGCGTAGGAGAATACAAATGGATCCATATCTATTCCCATGTATAAAACTTAAGTCCTAATGGGTAAACGAGCTTAATATCAATCCATCCACATTGAATCTCTTAGAACAGAAAGTGGGAACTACCCTTGAACACATTTGCACAGGAGACCACTTCCTGACTAGAACAACAGTAGCATAGATACTGAGACTGAAAATTATAAATGGGCCCTCCTGAAACTGAGAAACTTCTGTAAGGCAAAGAGTCTAAAGACAAAACAGCAGCCTGCAGAATTGGAAAAGATCTTCACCAACCCCATATCTGAAAGAGGGCTGACTTCTGAAATATACAAAGAACTCAAGAAATTACAGACACCAAAATACTGAGTAATCTAATTAATTCTCAACAGATCAAACTCAAATGGCCAAAAGGCACATAAGGAATTTCTCAACATCCTTAGCCACCAGGGAAATACAAATCAAAACAACTCTGAGATACAATCTTATACCTGTCAGAATGGCTAAGATCAAAAACAGCCAAGACAGCTTATCCTGGAGAGGATGTGGAGTAAGGGGAACACTCCTCCATTGCTGGTGGGACTACAAACTTGTATATTTAATTTTATTTTTAGATTTTGAAGTATGTTTGTATATTGTGTGTGTGCATGTGTGCACTGTGTATGTGAGTATGCATACATGTACATTGCAGTGCACATGTGGAGTCAGAGGATAATGTTCTCTTCTTTCCCTGTGCAAGTCCTCAAATGGTGGTAGTCAAGCCTGGCATCATCTGGCTAGTATCACATTCATCTTTTCTGGTATTCATGTTGTTGTTTTTTGCCTATAGGTCTCAATTTCAAAGTGGTGTAGGACCTTTGTTTCCCTTCACCTTAAGAACTTCATGCAACAGTAGTAGTTCAGGTTTGAAGGCATACTGTGTGTCTAGATTTTGTTTGAGTGCATATCTGATTTCCCTTGGATTTCAAATCCAACTAATAGATATTGGATACACAAATGTTATTTTTCTTTTTTTCTTGATTACCTTTCACTCAGGCTCATTTCCTCCTCTGCTTTCTACATGCTGACTCCTTGGACCGTTCCTTACCCAACATCAGTTTGTAGACAGGTTGTCATTCTATGTTCTTATCAGGCTTCTCACAGAACCCAATAATTCCAATTAATAAAGCCCACATGGGCATGAGTTGGGGCCACAAACATCCCCAAATACAGTTGATTCTTCCTTCCCCAGCAGACATTAACTCCAATAGTGCCTCATCGAGGGGTGGGCCTTGAGTGCCCCCCATCCATGTTGGATCCTGTTCAGCTCTTATTCAGGCAACCACAGCTGTTGTGGGTTTAGGATTGCATGGCCCCTCCCCCACACACTGTCATGCCCAGATAACACTGTTTCACAGGTGTCTTCCCCAACCTCTGACATGTACATCCCTTCTCTGGCCCCTCCTCCATGGTGTCCCCTAAGCCTAGGAAGGAGATAGGTGAGTCATAACCAGAATGGATCACTCCACCATCATTCATTCTCAGTACTTGGACCACTTGTGACTCTGTTTGCTGCTGTCCAGTGTTAATGTAGCTTCTCTAATGAGGACTAGGGGATATCCTCTCTGTGCCCAGACCTCAGAGGCCCTAACTCTGTTTGCCTTTCTCTGAAAATAACTCCATAAGAAAACATGTCTTATTATTTCCAATACCCTGGGCATTCAGCAAAATACCTGGCTCTGTAATACAGGCTCAGTACCACTTTTCTAATGTACACTGAATGCAGCTGAAGTCATACAGACTCTAGTTTTACTAGACTTGAGAAGACACATTAAGGCATCCCATTCTGCTAAATTCTCTAAAACCTATCTGGTTTTATAAACACTGTGCTGGGAAATATAAATACAAAGTGATATGTCTTCAAGACGATCCTTCATGGATCATCCATGTGAGAGACTCTGTCTTGTTCCCACATAGTCCTACTAGACTCCCAGGGCTTTAGGATGCCTTAAATGTGTTATTGTGTTGAAATGGATTCAGTAAGGAAGTTGACATTTTTGATTTAATAATTAGATTCTCTAGTTCCCCCGAGGAAAAAGAGCCATATAATTCCAAAGTGGTTAGGATTCAACTAAATATTAATAAATCCCCAAGTTCCCACTGAGAACGCCATGTCTTGCATGTGGGAGGCTCTCTCTAGTTTTGTTCTTATTTATGCCCATGGCCTTTCAGTTCATCGCCCCTGAGGCTTACCTCACAACAAAGTACCAGACATCCCCAGCCCATGTTTTGGTTTGGCTGCAGAGCACAGGAATACTTCCAGAAACCAGCAGATCAGGATATTTATTTTAGATTTGTTGATGTTCTTAAAAGTTCCCAGTTTAAAACATAAATATTTATGCCTATTGCCAAACTGAACCTCCATTTTTTACGAGGAGTCCTTTGATTAGTGTGAACTCTAAGGAGGACTCACACACAGCAGTTACTGTTTATTATGAAGAGATTGATGGAGACCTTCAGAGGGAGTTACTGCCTGAAGCCGGATTTCATATTTTGATTCTATGCATAAAAGAGCAGCATGGACCAGGCCTGGATAAGCATTCTGACAACTTCTATACTGGCTGTGATAACTTATAGCCTCTGGGTTTGGAGAGCAGGCTAATCCTCTTGAAGTGGAAAGGCCATGCAAGCTCAGCTCTTTTAAAGAAGCAACTTGGTTTTCATTCCTCAGACCCACCTTAGCTGGTCCTAAGTCAAGCTTCAAAGAGTGTGATGTGTGAAAAGTCATGAAGTTTTATTGTTGTTTGTTCATTTTGGAGGGGGGGGGGCTTCCAGACAGGGTTTTTCTTATTGCCCTGGCTATCCTGGAAGTTTCTCTGTAGATCAGGCTGGCCTCTAACTTGGAAAACCACCTGTCTTTGCCTCCTGAGTACTGGAATTAAAGGTGTTCACCACCATGCCCAGCTCATTTTTGAGTATAGAGTAGGATGGAGTTCTTTCTGGTTTGAAACACCTTCTGATTCTGTGTACAGCTTACTTATCCGATAGAACAATGGTTCTCATCCTGTGGGTCACAACCCCTTTTGAGGGTCAAGCGATCCTTACACAGTGTAGAATATCAGTTATCCTGCATATCAGATATTTACTTGGGATTCATAACAGTAGCAAAATTAGAGTTGTGATGTAGCAACGAACTAGTTTTGTGGTCAGGGGCCACTGCAACATGAACTGTATTGAAGGGTAGTATTAGGAAGGGTGGGGCTCCCTGTCACAGATGTTTTTCCTGGGTGGCTGCTTGAGGTCAGACTCACACTCAAAGGCACTGTGCTTGCTTTGAGCTTTGGCTCTTGCCTCACCTCAGAGATGTTCAGAGAAGGTTCCACCATGCTACCTCATTCCATCAGTGGAACTGCTGGCATCTGAAACCAGACTCTAAGAGTCAACTAAACTATACTTTCCCACACTTCCCAGTCACATTGCCTCAGGGGGCTCATTTTTTCATGGCCTGAATTTTAATGTCATCCAGAAACACAGAAAATGCCCACTAACATATCCAAGGCAGGGAAGACATCCCCACTGCTTACATGAAGACATAAGGGGTAGATAGAGTTCTTTCCTTCCTGGAGCTGAGTTGTCCTCTAGGACTGTTCTTTCTTCTCCTCACCATGTCTTTCCTGGTTCCTCAAAGGCTGAGGATATAGCATGGGAGCTTCAGAAGCAATGAGGAATGAGAAGTTACATCACAGAGACCATTCAAGCTGGCATAGACTTGCCTTTCCTTGCAAGGGACTCGAACTGACGAGTGTGCACTACTGGCACAGAGTTAGCTTCCCTTTTCCTCAACCAGCTTAGAGCAGCGGTAGGCAGAGTGTGTGCTGTTGCGGGTTTCCACCACACTGGAGGTTTGATGTGATGTAAATAATGCTGCTGGTAACACAGATTTTCCTGTGGACATGTCAGTGCTCTGAAACACTCAAGATTTTCCTAAATCCCTTGAAAGCCAAGTGTGTCTTTTCTACTTTGGAATTCTCAGCGACTAGCCCATAGCTGATGCTGTGTTAATGAGGCAAATGAATAAGCAGGAGAATACATAGATGGCCTTAACTCTGATGGGAAGCTAGACCCTGAGAATGAATTGGTTCATTTTTATCTCTATTGGTTACTTGCAGTTTATAAGATAATCTTAGGATCAAGCCTAGGTTAATGGGGGGGGGGGAATGGCAAAGGAATGGGACTGGTTTGTTTATTTTGTTCTTTGTTTCACTGTAGAGATAACAAACCATGTCTATATGACTTAGGGGGAAAAGGAAGCATGCTTCTTGACTTGAATTAGAAAATTCCCAAAACATTTTTCTTACATTCCAAGTCATTTGTTTTTACCCTTCAGCTATCTATAAATAGGGCAGGCTTGCTACAAACACCTTCACATTCCCAGTTCTGCTGAATCTGGTGGCTGGGCTCTAGAAAGAGGGACAGGAGTGGCCATGGTACAGGGGACCCAATATCTTCTCTAATACTCAGAACTTGTCTTTGTGGATATTCTAAAATTCAGTCATCATCAGGGCTGATGGCAGGATGCTGCTAACAATGTCTGTCTGTCACCCATAGGTCTGAGACGAACTTACAGATGTACCATCTGCAGTGTGTCGCTCAACTCAATAGAACAGTACCACGCACACCTGCAAGGATCGAAACATCAGACCAAGTAGGTACTGTTCCCACTCTACCCCCATTCCTATACTCTCCCTGTTCCCACACTCTCCCCGTCCCCACTCTATCCCCGTCCCCACACTCTCCCCGTTCCCACTCTCTCCCCGTTCCCACACTCTATCCCCGTTCCCACCCTCTCCCGGTTCCCACACTCTCCCTGTCCCCACACTCTCCCCGTTCCCACTCTCTCCCCGTCCCCACTCTATCCCCGTTCCCACTCTCTCCCCGTTCCCATTCCTTGGTCCTTCCTATGGACTTGTTTTCACAAGACCATTAAAACCAGACATGTTATTTATCTCAAAAAGGCAGACAGATATAGATTTTATTTTCTTATCTCTGAAGTTTCCTTGACATTTATGTTTCTTGAGCTGCTTTTTCCACTTCACCACAAATAGGACTTTTCTTTCAAAAGTAATTCAGCAAGCTTTATGATGTTGAGGAAACTTTTACAACTATATTGTGTGTTTTTAATAAGCAACATGATCGCTATTTGTAGGCTGTACTAAACTTCTGTGTTAATGTTCAAACTCTGAATATTTCCTAACGTGGATGCTGTCAACTATTAGGAAAACAGATCCTCTGGCATATTTAATTCAGATTTAAGTCATGTGTGTATGTGTGTGAATATGCATATGTATGTGTGTGTGTGCACAGATACACACACACACACACACACACACACACACACACACACACACACGTGTTGACAATTAAATAAAAGCCTGCTCTTATTTGCTCTCCCCCAGAAAAGTCTCAGATTTTTTTTTTTAACTGGAACAGGCTGCAGGCTGCAGGCATCTTCTTACTTACCTTCCTGCACACTTTCATAGCCACCAGAACCAGGACCAGCAGTGTGAGGCAATCCATGAGGCTGTTAAGAAAACAAGCATACAATCGTCTATAAGGAACAAAGAATATCTCAAAAGGATGGAATCTAACTAGATGCAGTTGTTTTTATTTCTAAATAATTCAAGAGCTGACTCTATTAAGGCCCTGTGAATAATCAATGTCATCCAGCCAACATTTACTGAGTGCTGCTGTATGTCAGACCTCCCTTTCCCTTGGGAGGAAAGGTGAGTAGACACTGGCCTTTCTCTCAGGGAACCCCGGCTAGCTGGGGAGGTTGTTCTCTAATCATGTGTGCACACCAGAGCCTTGAGACCTGGGGGAGGCACAAGTGAGGCCAGTTTTTCTAGGATGTTGGTACAGCTAATGCACACATGAGGAAGAGCTCATTTCTGGTGCCCAGCATGGGTCTCCATGGATGTTAGGAGATACCCTTTTTAGTTTTTGGATTTTTTTTTTTTTTAATGACACAGGTAGCGTTATCCAACTCAAGGGAACCACAACTGAGAAAATGCCTCCATAAGATTAGCCTATAGTTAAGTCTGTGGGGACATTTTTCTTAATGAATGATGAGGGAGGGCCCAGCTCAATATGGGTGGATTTAGCCCTGGGCAATAAGAAAGCAGGCCGAACAAGCCATGAGGAACAATCCAGTAAGCAGCATTCCTCCATGGCCTCTGCATCCGTTCCTGTAGCCAGGTTCCTGCCTTGCTTGAATTGCCGCCTGACTTTCCTCAGTGATGGGCTATTTCCTGGTCATGATGTTTTATCAACACAATAGAAACCCTAACTAAGACAGGAAGCTTTGACAGAATGGGTATGCAATGTTAAAAAAAAAAAAAAAAAAAAAAAAAAAAGCTTTGATTCTATTTTTAAGACTTACTTTTAGTGTGTGTGTGTGTGTGTGAGTGTGTGTGTGTGTGTGTGTGTGTGTGTGTGAGAGAGAGAGAGAGAGAGAGAGAGAGAGAGAGAGAGAGAGAGAGAGAGAGAGAGAGAGAGAGAGAGTGAATGCAAGATACAAGCACATAAGTGCCCACAGAAGTCAGGGGAGAATGTCAGTTCCCCTGGAGCTGAAGTTATAGTCAGTTATAAGCTGCCAGATGTAGGTTTAGAGACTGTGCTCAGGTCCTGTAGAAGAGAATCCAGAGCTCTTTACTGCTGAGTCATCTCCCCAACCCCTCATTTCCATTTTAATATCCTCATCTCCTGCTATTCCTTTCTCCTTTCTTGCCTGTCTTGTTCTGGATCTCAAACTCAGGGTCTCAGGTGTACAGAAAAGCACTTCAACCAATCTACACTCCCACACCCTTATTTTCTTAACAAACTATAGAACTTTGTACTTTTTAAAGTCCAACTCATCAAATCTGTTCTTTTATGTCTTAAGTTATTTGAGTATAAGTTGGGTCTCAAGGCTATCAAGGTAAATTTCCACATTACTATGTTCACCTTGTATTCTCTTTCTTTATGAATGTAGGCCTTTAGTGTCTTTTTTTTTCTTTTGCATAATATGATAGAGGTCAATTTTCAGATTTTGCCTATATGAATACTAGTTGATCCAGTATCACTTACTTAAAAGAGAATTTAAGTATTCCTGTTCATAAATCAGGTGGTTTACAGGCATGTCATTATGTTCCTGTCCGGGTTCTACACTCTTCAACCCATTGATGCTCTTTCTTTACTCCATTGCACACTGTCTCCTATAGCTTTATGGTAGGTAGGTCTTGGTATCTAGTAGTGTAAATTTTCTATTTCTGCATTTTTATTCAAGACAGTTCTCATTATGCTTGCCAGTTTGTAATTCTAAATTTAGAATCAAAACTGTCAGTTTCCCTGAAACCGTTTACATTAGTGTATCCTTGAGTCTGCTTCCATCCATGGTGCACACCATTCTTTGGCTGTGCCTCTGATTCTTTCAAGAAGGTTTCACAGGTCTCTCTGCAGGAATCTCACACATATTTGCTCACATTTATTCCTAAAGACCTGTGGTTTCATTGTGTTTCATTGTAAAAGGCAAGTGATTTATGTCACATTAAGAGACCAGACTACAGCCAAGATCATTTAAAATTTTTAGTTATAAACAGTAATGTTCCCAAGCCTTTATCAAATTGCTTTGCTAAATTTACTTAACAATCAATTCCATCAGCAAACTATTAAGGGCTTTCTATGCAAAGGCCACATCATCAGTAAACAATGGGAATCCCTTCCTCCTTGTGCCTCTCCTCTATTTGCTTCTTTACAATGGAGATTCTTTGCTGCCCCACAGATTCGAGTAGAACCATAGTCACTACATTCTCATCTCACAAACCTTCTGTTAATGTAAGATACTCCTTTGTCTTCCCTAATATGCTGACAGTTTTTTTCATGACTGGATGATGAAATTCATCAAATGTTTTTACTTTACTCATGTGATCATAATATCTCAATTTTCATTTACAGATTATTAAATTGTAGCCAATGATTTTCAAATATCAATACATTTCACTAAAACTTCATTTTTCTTGAAATATTTTAATTTATTTCTGGAATTAACACCCTAAAACATTTTAAGGGCTCTCTCTCTGTGTGTGTGTGTGTGTGTGTGTGTGTGTGTGTGTGTGTGTGTGTGTGTGTGTCTTTCTGTCTGTCAATGTGTCTTTATCATTGTTAATGAAGCAGTTTGGGGTCTTAATTTTTCTTATAATACTTTTAGTTTCATTATAAGGGTTTTGCTGGTATTATTAAATATGTTCAAAGATTTTTACCTCTACTTTTTCAAGTTAGTTCTTTACGGCCTGGCTCATTGAATCCTTCAGGGACAAAACATTTTTTTTTTTAATCATTATGCAATTTTAATTACTAAGTTAACCTCATTGCATACTGTACATCTATTCACACTGTTTATCTCATCTTGCCTAATCTTTGGTAAGTTGCATGGGTCTAGGAAATCACTAACCACTTTTATATTTTCCAATTTAATGGAATATACACTTGTAAAAGTAGATCCTTATTTAGAATTTCATTTATATCTGTTGTAAATTCTCACTTTTTATCTTTAGTATTATTAATCTGTGTCTTTTCTCTTTCTTTTGGTTTATTTTGTTTAGTGTGTCAATCCTGATTAAATTTTCAAAGAACCATCTCTTCACTTCATTGATTTTTGTAATTTTTGTTTCTATTTCATTAATTTCTGCCTAATTCTAAGCATTTTCTTGGGTTCACTGCTTTGACGTTAGGTTTGTTCTAATTTTCTTCAAGGCACTAGGGTGCATTATATAGTTATTTATTTGAGACTTTTTCTTGATGTTTAATGTTGGCACTTGTAGCTGTGGAATTTGGGATTTCTTTCATTGTACCCATACATTTTGGTATGTTATGTCCTCATTTTAAAAATTTATTACTTTCATATTTTTCAAGATTAATAGGGTATAATTCCATAAATCCCCCCTGCCCTTACTTTCCTCCAAACCTTCACACATACTCCTTATTTCCTTTCAAATTATGGCCTCTCGTTTCCATTAATTGTTGTCACATACATGCATATGTATGTATAAACATATATATTCCTAAGTACATAGCATAACCAATTCAGTCTATATGATGTTACTTGCTATTTGGTATTGGGTAACCAATCAGTTCTTAGCATTATGCAGTTGCCTGAATTTCTTTGTGTAGAGGTGAGGTCTTGTGGGCTCTTTTCTATCCACACTGGCATGTTTATTGGTATTGTCCTGGTTCAGGTCATGTAAGACAGTCAACGTTGGTGAGACTTGATGGGCATCACTTCTGAATTCCTAGAAGAATCAATCTCACCACAAACTCCCTGCTCTTCTGGCTCTTAGCATATCTTTACCCCCTCCCATGGAAATGCTCCCTGAGCCTTCTATGCAGGATGGGTGTTGTGTGTCTTCATTTTTAATCAGTTCCAGAATTTTTAAATTTACTTCTTCAGTGTTACACCCATTACCTGGTCATGTGTTGTTTAATCTCTATGATTGAGAGTTTTATATGGTTTCTTGCTGTTGATTTCAAGCTTTATCTCATTATGATCAGATAGGATTTAAGCAATTATTTGAATTTTTGTATATTTGTTAAGACTTGCTTTGTGTGCTTAATATATGGTTTCTTTTAAAAGAAGTTCCATGGGCTGTTGAGCATAATGTGTGTCATTTG